GGGGTGTGTGTGGGGAGGGGGGGACAATCGTCACGTAACGGTTATTTGAATTTATTTCTAATATTAAGCAATTCGAAGATCTTGGAGGATGGCTTCCGCCGCTTGGCGGCCGGACAACATCGCTCCATGAAAAGAGGCGGAGTTGCGGTGGTCCCCACACACGTACAAGCCGTCTCCCAGTCGAACGGCGCGCTGTGCTTCCCAGGGTGGCCGTTGATCAGGCTGCGCGTAGGGGATCCTGTACGTCCTGAGGTGACGCCACGTGGCTACCTCAGACACGCCGAACCAGTCCCCCAGCTCGGCGCGCACTTCAGTCTCCAGGTCAACGTCGGTGCGATCGGGATAGGTCCCGACGAGCGACACGCTGACCAGCTCCTTGCCGCTTGGTGCGTACTCGGGCGCCACGCGACTGWTGAAACACATGTTGTTAATTACCCCTTTAGAAGTCCCATTAAGGAACAMGATGGGTTCGTCACCGGGGGAAGGGGGGGGGTGATCGAGGGCGAAGTACAGGCAGACAGTGCCACGTGGCTTAAGCCCGGCGGAARAGGTGACGTMAAGAGATTCCCCAARAAGACGGCGTGCTTCCGGACCTTCCGTCGCGATAACCACGACACCCTTTCGCGCTCGCACCATGGCTCCCCCTTCCACCTCCACCTCCTTCTCCTTAACTCCCGCCATCCTCCCTCCTCCTCCTTGGTCTTGGCCAGTTGTGCCATCATCTTGGTCCTTAGCGACACTACCGGTAGGGTCGCTGCTCTGGGCTCCTTCTTCTCTTATCTGCAAGACCCTGGCGTTGAGTCTAATCGCGCCACGTGGCAATCTGTCAGCGATCTGCTTGGGAATCGCCCCGAACCCGGCAGCCGGTAGTGCGTTATCACCCAAARCAAGAATTTTGAAGATGAATTCGAGTAGCCGGGAGCTGGTGGACAGGTGGCGATCAAAGAAAATGCCACCTAAGAAGGGCTTGAAGAACCTATCTGTAAWCTCAAAGCTGAAGCCTTGATTAAAGARAAAGTCGGCGGAGGTGGTCTCCGTGCGGGAAAGGAGGATGCTTTCGTCGGACTTGCTCGCGCTTCGCAAGCGCAGGAGGCCCACGCGCAGCTTGTCCGCCAAAGAGCCGACGGGATGGTCGGGCGCAAGCGTGCGGAGCGCGTCCAGAGGATGGCGGAAAGGGTCCGCGACGCGGTGAAATCCGCCGCCGAAGCGGACAAGCGCGCCAGCGTAGAACGGACGCAGGCGGAGTTTGTCGTATTCCAGCACAGCTTGGGCTTCTGGATACGCCGTGAGAAAGATCTGGAAGCCGCGATCAAGCAAGAAGCCGTCCAGCTGGTCAGTGCGCACGCGGCCGCCGACATCGTCGGAAGCTTCGAGAACGACGACATCCACTCCGCGGGTGTAGAGGTGGAGCGCGCAGCACAGGCCGGCGAGGCCGCCGCCAACGATCACCACGTCGGCGGCCGCCGACGCTGGGGGCAAGATATCACTAGAGCTCGTCGACGACTCCTCTTTGCCGCCCACTCCTGCGCTCTGGGTGCCCGACGCGGGCGCCTCGGCGGCGGAAGCCGCAGATCCCGCGGATGCTTGCGCAACGCCGCTCAGGCGGGTTTTCTTAGACTTTGCCCAGGTCGAGATCCGCATCGCAGTCGCAAACGCAGGTGTTCCCCGCCAAAACCGACCCTCGCTGAATCTCAAAAACCTTGCCTCGGAAGCTACCGCTCCTACCCCCCATCTATTGGGCAATCGCCTGGGAGCGATGGCGTTAGGGGTGCGCGAAGCGGATTCCGCGCCGCCTCCGCCGTAACGGTTGATTCTCCCCTTGGCGGCGCTATGGTCGGCTCCGGCCGCCGCCGACTTTTGCCTCGGAAGTGCTGCGACCGAGACACTGGCGTACGATAGGCGGCGCGTTGCAGACGAATGCCACGTGTCTCCGGCGCCTCCCCGTGCTTCCGAACAGCAGGTGCCCTGTGTAGCTGCGCGAGATCCCGCATTTGCTACAGCTGGGTATCGCTGTAGCATGCTCGGACTCGCCGCACCCGCCATCGCCGCGATTAGCCCGTGACGTCAACGTAATTGTCCTTCCAGGACACCAGCACCTTGGGCTTTGTCACCCCACTTTCCTCCTGCCGCCCCGCTTGCCGGGCTTCATCGTCGTAGGCGGCTCGCGGCCGGCGGCTGGCGGCTGGATGGGGGATAGGGAGAAGGAATGCTGCTGATCAGGCAGCGGCAGAGTAAAGAGAGAAGATAGGGGTCGGTTTCCAATTCTAACGGATGTCCCGACAGCCGAAGGTGAGGGAAAGTCTGTCAGCGATGGCAGTTCTACGGTGACAGATACTGCCCGGCGCTGCAGTACTCATGCTACGGGGACCGATACTTCCCATCGCTGCAGTACTCACCAAATGGGCAAAACGAGAACGAATCTTCCGCTAGAAGACGAGAAGATACACAGCCATATTTGATCTCTTTTCGTTTTTTTTTTTCTTTTTTTTAAAGCTATACTCTTCTCTCAATTTCACCTCACACTACCTACCTACCACTACTCCTAATTGTAGGCATACGGGGAACCCCGTAGCATGAATGTTGTGCGATTGGAACAATGAAGTACAGAGAAGATTAGCATTGGGCCCTGCGCAAGGACGACACGCATGAATCGMGGAAAGTGGATAAGGCGCCTCGTCGGACAGAACAACAACAAAATCACGTTGGAACGGTCTGGCCCAATTGCAACCCCCGGTCTCGGGTTGTCGTTTCTTTCACGTAAAAAAGGGGCGTAGATCCTTCGGGCACAAGGATGACACGCATAAATCGAGAAATGGTCCAAATTTAAAAACAACAACAAAAAAAAAAAAAGGGCGTTGCCCACAGTAACCTTTTCCAACTTCGTCAGGGTTTGAGGTGCTGCTCTCTGGGTATGAACAAAATATGCATTATGTGTGTGTGTACCTTTTTTTTTTTTTTTTGAAAAAAAAGGCTATATTCTTCTCTCAATTTGACCTCACACTACCTACCTACCACTACTCCTACATGTAGGCATACGGGGAACCCCGTACCAGCCAGAACCGTGTTCACGAGAGAACATGTGGGGGGTGCTACCGACCTGCAGGTGGGCGATACCGGCTACAGTAGGGGACAGCCTGTACCATCAGGGACCATGCCAACAGGACCAATCCCTGTGCCTCCCCTCAGGTGGTGGTCCCCTCCCCTACGAACATCAGCAGACTCTGCTCAATGCCGATCGGGGGATCCAGTGCTCTTGAGCTGTTGCCGTGGGTATGARCAAAATATATATGTATATGTCTGTACCATTCAGCCACCAGGCAGGCACGATGCATATAGCTTTTTCAGGGGTCGGAGKCTTGGCCTGGGGCTCAACGAATTCATGGGTGCCCTTTCTTTCGTTCTTCCCTTGTGGGCGAAAGACTCCAGGTTCCAGGCCCCGTTTGTTGTCTGCAGAGTGGACCTGGAGTCTGCGTGAACAAACGGGGTCTCTCAATTTCACCTCACACTGCCTACCTACCACTGTAGGCATGTGAYGCGCAACCTCTCGCCCTGTGCTGTCTTCCGTTCGGAGTGTTAGCTGTGCGGAAAAGAGGCCCAGAAAAACAGCAAGATGGGGTGTGCCAAGGATTTTTGGAAATTGAGTGTGGGGACACAGACGGAACTGAAATCCCCCGTGTTGGTCCGATGGAGCAAGTCGATCGTTTTCGCGCGTCGTGGAATGCGCGTGCGGGCAAGGCGGGAAGAGAGGGAAAAATCCAAATTCAATCCAAAAAGTATTGTCGTGCCTCCCACCGGGCTACAGCCCGTCGTTTAGAACAGAAAGGCTTGGGCACGCTTCGCGTGTCCCGTTTTCGTATCAAGTCTCGTCGTCGTTCGCTGGCTAGTTCCGAGTCTGACGTGGATGGTCTCAGCTGAGTGGCTCTTTCCTTATGCTCGTCCTCACTCCGTATTCGGTAGTGGAAGCCCTTCGCTTCGTAGCGATCGAAACGCTGGCACTCCGTACACAGAGTGCGGGGCCAATGGGGCGCCACTGCCGTCCACGGGATGACGATCAGCTCGTTAAACGGCAACAATATCGAGTAGGGTGGAAAATGCGTATCGATAATGACAAATCCGGCGTCTACAAACCCTGAACAACGGTTGGCCGAAGGGAAGTAATAGTGCCCGCCGATTTGTGCTACGGCTTCTCGTACGTCCCACTCACATACACGCGTCCTTTCCTCGTTGTAGGGAAAGGGCCGCGTGGGGATGGGAGATACGAGAGGCTGGCGCCCAATCGAGGGGTACTTGTCAGTCCACATGTCAATCAATCACAATATCTCGAGACGTCATTAAAAACCAAAGCGATTTGCGCGACCCTCAATCAATCCTTTTGACACAAGAGCGAGAGCAAAACACACATCCGCTTGATCATGCATATGACTAAGGGACCGATCCGTGACTCAGTTCAACACAACGTTGGCGCCTTGTTTCTCACGGCCGCCCGGTGGCTTAGCTGCTGATGTCGTGCAACATAAGGCAGATGGCATGCGCAGTGCATTCGGAACCACAGATCTAAACACTCTTGCATTCTCGAACAAAATCCCGACGACAATCGTCTAATCAACACGAAAAGAGTCACACGTTTCCATACATGCATTCACTGTGGAAGGTGCGAAAATAAGACATGCACAGGAAAAGATGGATTGCATCGCACAGTACACACGCATCCACCGTTCACAAGACAAGAAGATAGGGTCCTTGCGTAGGAGGATTACCCAGGAAACTAATGGAAGAGTTCCGGAAGAAGTTCTTCCACACAGAATGTCGACTCATTTCCATTCAAGAGCGGGACAATCATTCAAATGCATCATCATTCAAGAGGAGAGAGAGAGAGAGAGAGTCAAAATAGAAGACGACAAGGTTCGAAAAGAGAAAAGTTCGGCGTCGCCGCCTCACACTCACGCCAAGGATAACAATCCGCAACAAAGGCGCATTCGCCGTTAATTCCACCATGGCCCCGGGCCAATCACTCACTCAACTCCAATCATTGAACCTCATACCTGCACCGACGATCCCGGCCGTCGCGTGCTAACTCCCACCACTGCAATCGTCACCCCGCTGTCGTAAACTCGACACGGTTCGCCCGGATCCCACAGTCTGTCGTGGCGATCAAGCGCGCAACCGGCCAACCTATCGTCAGCCCGACAGGACTTTCCGACTCGCATCAATCCACTCTGCCTAGCCACTGCTTCCCGGAAGCTGGCTTAGGAGTCGAGAACGTAAGAAAGAGTTGCGGACGCGCTTGCGGGTTTTATAGTTGCGACAGGGGAGATAGAAGGGGGAAAAGGCGACAGAAAAGTTGAGGTGTAAGAGGAGAAGCAGGAGGAGAAGACTTTGAAAAGAGTGCTCTACGAACGCCATGTTGATCCCTCAGAACTCAAGGTTCAACCAATCAGATTAGTCGCGCGATAGGAAGGTCCTATCGATCCACGCACCTGATTGGCGAGCGGGAGTTATCGGGGGATCGATCGGGCGTCGTACGCCAGACGTAGAGGGTGAGAAGAGAAAAGGCGCGAGAGGTGGCGCAAGACGGGTCCAAGATTCAGATGATCAAGAAAGGGAAATGGGCGCGCGAAAGCAAGGCGGGAGAGAGAGAGAGGGAGRAGGAAAAACAGTTACCGGGAGAGAGAAAAAGGAGGGAGAAGGGAAGAGAGGCGCGGGAGGGAGCGATGCGCGGGACAGAGAGGAGGAAGTTTTTGCATGCACGGCGCCGTCAACAAAAAAAAGAAAAAGGCACCGAAACAGTTACAGCTTGCTTCTATCCTAATTCAAAATTGAAATCACCATATCCGCGCGCGAAAAAGCGACGCGGGAAAATAAAATCCTACGCCTATTCGTATTCACGCAAAATTCCGAGAGTTTTCCCCGATGTGCCCAAGAACATTCACACACCCAAAAAGGACACGTCGAAGTTCCGCTTATCCCGGAATTCCCAACTACCGAGCCCAATTCCCAGTGCGCTCGCTA